TCTTAGAACCCAGAAATGTTCTAAGAACAGAACCGATGTTCTTTGAACATAGACCCGATGTGCTAAAAGAAGACAAGCTCCGCCAGAAATGTTCCAAGACCATTTCGTGGAAACCACAAAACAGGTTCTTAGAACATTGTTTGGTGGGGCTTTAGGCGAGCCGGGACGCTTCGCCACTGCTTGCGTTCGTGGCCGCCCGAGAGGCTCCCCCATTCGCACCTCTCCGTGAGAGAGCGAGGCTCTGACCAGCACTCTCGTGGGAGCCCGGCCGTGGCGACGAGGGGCCTCCTCCTCCTCCTCCTCGTCGTCGTCGTCCTCCTCCTCCTCCTCCCTCGTCCTCGTCCTCGTCCTCGTCCTCTCCTCCTCCTCCTCCTCCTCCTCCTCCTCCTCCTCCTCCTCCTCCCTCCCCCTCGCTCTCGTCCTCGTCCTCCTCCGCGTCCTCGCCCCGCGTTTTGGTTGGGGGGGAGCCCCCCCCCCCCCTCCCCCCCACAGAAACAAGTGGCACGCGTGCCCTGGCTCCTGCACCGAGGAGCTGCGAGGGACAGGAGGCGGTCGCCTCCTTCCTCCAGGAGTTTCCTTCCGTGGCCAGCGGGGGGGAGGACGAACGACGAAATGACGAACGAGCGAAAACGACGACGAACATAAAGAGGTCCGAGCTGTAGAACATGACTGTGCAAGAGAATAATGAAAAACGTCTCTGCACCTCGAACGTAGATTTCCTCCAACCGGCTCCAATAGATACTCGTTCTGGGGATTTCCCCGGAGCCACTAACCTCACCCTTGCGTCGATGCTGCGTCGAACGTCCGTCGACCTGAGTCGAGCTCGAGTCGACCTTGAGTCAACCTTGAACTCAAAATAATCAAAATAGAGTCGAGCCAGATCCTTCAAGTGGGGCCCCGGAAGGTCCTCCGAGCGAACATCGAATTTCATCAGACGTCAAACGATGCCCCAACAAACACGAATCGCAATCACGGACAGAGAGAAGCGCAAACGCAAGGAAGGGAGTGCCGGCAAGCCGACGGTGACGTCGAAAATGTTGGAACCTCCCCGGGGGCGGGACACCCTCCTCCTCGTCATCCTTCTGCTTCTCCCTGCTCGCTCCTCCCCTGCTCCCTCCCTCCCTCCCTCCCTGCTCCCTCCATCTTCCCTCCCTCCCCCCGCCGCCTCCACACTCCTTCCTCCATCGTCTTCTACTCCTCCTCCTCCTCCTCCTCCTCCTCCTCCTCCTCCTCCTCCTCCTCCTCCGTACTCCTCCTACCTCCCTCTCTCCCACCTCCCTTCTCCCTCCTTCCTCCTTCGAGCACGCCCCGATGGCAATGTGCTGCCCCCTTTCTGAGTCGGTGCGCGCGCGTTTACTGGCCTAGATTTCGGCCGCCGCACTCGCCTTGCTTCGCCTCGTCGCTGCGCGCGAGGCCGCCACCGCCAAAAGTGAGCGCGCGAGGCCGCGACCGCCAAAGGGTCTGCTTTTGTGTGTGTGCGCGTTGTAGATCACTTAGACGAAAATGGGCAAAGTGCAGTGTGGGTCGAATTCTCACCAGTGTCCTTGTCCTTCGTGGAGTCTGGGGGTGGCGCTCGCACGGTCAGGCGCACCCCCGTGTCACCGTCGGGCTTCAGAGTGGCAAGACCCAACGTCGATCCGCGTATTTAAATACTGACTCCACGATATTAAGACGAAGCCAAGACGAGGACAACCTCTGACGGATAGATCGAGAATCGCTGAGAGCCGGCAGCTCTGGATGATGTCTCGGGCGACGCGGCCTTCTCAGAGCGTTCCAGAATGCTCTGGGAAGGTCTCGAAACGCTCTGGAACGGATTGATCCTCGTCATAACTTCGTCCGAGATTTCCTGAGACTGCGCAGTAGGGACCTCGAGTCCGTCGCCGTCCACAGGAACACCATCCGCACGCAAGCTCTCGCATGCAGATCTTATTCGTTTGACTTGTTCTGTCCTCCCCAAACTGCGCCTCGTGGATCACGAGCACGGAGAAAGCAAGCTGACGCCCGCCGCTGCGACCGCCTGCCGCACTCCCTGGCCCTGGCCCGCGACCCCGCCCACGCGCTCCCAGGAAGGGGCCCACGTGTGCCAGCGCCGGAGCATCGCCGCGAATTCCTTTCGCGCCGCGCCGCAGGTGGGCGCCGACCTCTGCGGGGTCCGGCGCTCGCAAACTTCCGGGGCAACGCCCGCGCCCCATCCGCCTCGCCGCCCTCGGCGTCCCGCGGAAAACCTAGCGGAGCCCGCCGGGGGCCCCGCGCCCGCCGCCCGCCCCCGCCTCCGCGCCCGCATCTCCGGGAGGTCCATGGTCGCCTGCCTGCAGCTCAAAGATGAATACCTACCAAACCACCCCAACCCAACCCGAAGACCCAAATTTGACCCCAATTTCGGGTTGGGGGGGGTACGGGTTCCATGTGTGTTTTCAACGTTCCCCGACCCCCCCCCACTGGAAGTGGAGGGCAAATTGAGGGCTTCGGGTTGGGTTGGGATGGTTTGGTGGGTGGTGAAAAGAGGAAGAGATTCCTCCCCGCCTGGTCTGACCCCCCCTCGCAGGCACCCACGCGCTCTGCCTCGGCGTCAATGCGCGTCGCGACCTGCGCGGCCCAGTGCACCGCGAATCGAAAGGGTCATGGCCGTCGTCGGCGCGCCGTCCCACTTGAATAGCCTCGATCGTGAACAACTTGCCAGTCTCCGCTCGCACTCGTCATGCTACATGCTCAAGGTCAGCTCTTCGAACGGCCGCTCCTGCCAAGCGTTTGCACGTCTTCCCCCGCGTCGACGCCAGCCATGCGTTGCACCCAGCGAGCGGCCCCTTGACCAGCAGGCTGCACAGGACGAAACAAGACTAATTTGAACAGCGCGCAAACCTCTGGGCCCTTCTCCTTCGAAGGCATCGCGAATCCCCGCACCCTGGGCACCTTGAACGGTGCTGCCACGCGAAGCTTCTGAACGCGGAAGGCAGAGGCTGGAGGCGTGCCCGCAATCTCAGAAGTTACAAAGTCCTCTGCGCGAGCGGAACATCAAACGGTTTCCCAGCGCAGTGTAAACGAATGTATCATACTTGTGGACGCCCATGGGCGCCAGCGTCTCCCTCTCACCGCGACGATGCCAAATCGTCTTGAGATCGTGCTCCGGAGCAGCCCGGAAAGCAGCGCCTGGCGGCTGGTCCTGCCGCGGCTCGCGGCCGTCCACGCGGGCAGGGCACCCTCCATCATCAGCTCCCTCGTGCGCTACACCCCGGAAGACCTTGTGGCGGAGGGAGCTGCGCCCCTCGCCCAGCTCGTCCAGGACGCCACCACCCCCGTCCCCGTCGGGATACCCTCCCGCGCCAGGCGGCCCCACCTCTGTGTCTGCAGCGCGCGGGTTGTGCCAGAAATCGCCCTTACCCTTGAAAGCCGCGTCGATCGCCTCGTTCGCAAGCGCAACGATCCCTTTGCAAGACGCAGTCAGAGTGTCGTGTGAGCGGTAGCGCTCGTGGCCGAACACCACCACTTGGAATTTCATCTCTCTGGCAGTTTCTTCGGGAGCGTTCGGTCCGAGCTGGTCGTGAGTTTGATGGCGGTACTCGTGGCAGAAACGCCTGGAACCAGCACCTTCGCTTCCCCCTCGTCATCCGCCTCCTTCACCTCCTGCTCTTCCCGCTCTGCTCGCCAGGAGCGGAAGCAACTCCAAACCAGCGGTCTGAGCCTGCAGCACACCGAATTCCCCCGCGATGGGTCTTCTCTTTGTCGCGTAGTCCGTTTGATTATGCATCATGTTCGCTGCGTCCGTGAACACGGCTTCAAGCAACTGCAGCACATGCTCCCGAAAACAATCACGACGTCGGGTCGGGTGCCCGGGTGCCCGCTTTTTTCCCGGCCTTCGGAAAGGGGGTCTAACCCAGACGTCCAACGGTGTTTTTCCAGACAATCCTGTTGTGTTGGGTTCTCGCATTGAAGAAGCAGTTCCAATGTTTCCGTCCTGTTTCCTCCTCTCCTCCTCCCGTTCCTCCCTCCTCGCATCATCTTCCCTCTGCCCTCCGCGTGTCAACCTGTGCGGCACACCCCTCACACGCTTCGTTGCCCATTAAACGGCTCCACCGAAGGCCACATGGGAAGGGTCCACGTGCGGTTCCCCGCCCAAGTCGATACAACCCTCCCACGCTTGGTGACCCCATAGGGAGCTTCTGCGAAGGCCCCAGCGGCAGGGTCCACATGCGATTCTGCTCATTGCGACGGCCCCAGAGAAAGCTGAACCGAAGACCCCAGCGGCAGGGTCCACGTGCAATTCGCCGCCAATGTGGACACACCCCTCCAACGTTCCGTGACCTCATATGGAGCTCCGCCGAAGGCCCCAGTGCCAGGGTCCACATGAGGTTCCCCACCCATGTTGACTACCTACCAGACCACCCCAACCCAACCCGAAGACCCGAATTTGACCCGAATTTCGGGTTTGGGGGGTACGGATTCCATGTGTTTTTTCAATGTTCCCCGACCCCCCCCCACTGGAAATCGAGGATCAATTTGGGCCTTCGGGTTGGGTTGGGGTGCTCTGGTGGGTGGTGACATGTGGGCACACCTCCCGCACGCTTCGCGGCCCCGTGGCGAGCTCCACTGCAGGCCCAAGTGGGGTACGGTCCACATGCAGTCGCCCGCCCGCTTCGGCACACCACTCTCGCGCGCTCCGTGGCCCCATAGGGAGCTCCACTGAAGCCGGCGCCCACAGCGCGGTGCTCCCAACGGCACACGGTGGGGCCCTCATGAAGCCGCGGCCCCATATGCGGGGGGCAGTTTTTGTTTTCGTCTCGGGCTCACGTTTTTGATGGTCCTCCTCCTCCTCCTCCTCCTTCTCCTCCTCCTTTCCCTCCTCCTCCTCCTCCTCCTCGTCCTCCTCCTCCTCCTCCTCGGGCTCATGTTTTTGATGGTCCTGGGGCCACGGGTCCCTGAGGCCAAACTCGAGGAGGAGCCGCCGTGGAAGCCTCCCAGCCACCCCGCGCGCGCGAGAGATGTCTGGGCACCCCCCTCCCCGCCAATCGACGAGGAGATGGCCATGTCCCCGTGCCCCTGCATGGTCACGAGCACCGAGGTCAGCAGGTCTGGCACGGAGGTGCCTGGCGGCGAGGACAAGGGGGCGAGACTCGGCGACTTCGAAGAGTGTGGTCTGCAGAGGGCGGGGTTAGCAACCCGCACCCCTGGAGGGCGGGCGAGGACCTCGACAAGGAGTTCTCCGTTGCGAACCCTGACAAGGCCTGACGAGGGCGACGTGGTGCCCCCACGGCCCCAGCGACGCAGCTCGCAGACCACACCTGCTGTAGCAGCCGAGAGAGAGCGTGGCGGACAGAGATCCCCGCGGATATGTGTACACTTGGCGGCGCGCAGAAGGCGGAGGGGGAAAGCTTCTTAGAAGGAGGCCGCTTCTTAGAGGGCGCCGGCCTTACACCTAAGCAGAAGGCCCGCGCCTTCTCCTAAGAAGCAGGGGTCCTTCTAAGAAGCCTGCCCCCCCTCCCCCTACCCCCCTCTTCGCGTGGCCGATGGACCTCGTCGCCATCTGGCCATCGCTCGGACGTCCATTCCCTGTGCTCTTTTTCGGTTTCGTGCGTGGTCTCTCGCCAAATCATCAAGGATGCTCCTCGGTGGTCTTCGCAGAAGAAAAAATGCACACGTCCGAGCGATGCCAGGCCCTCTTCGCGTGGCCGATAGACCTCGTCGCCACACAGGCCACCCAGCTCCGCGCCGCGCGCCCCGAGGTGCGCGGCGCGCCGGCCGCCTCCTTCGCGCCCTCGCGCCAGCGACGCGACCCAGTGGAGGAGGGCGCGTGCACCCCGAGACGCGGGAGGAGCCCTCGTGTGCCGAATCGAGTGCAGTCGAGGCGTTAACCTAAGGAACCCCAAACGAGGAACGAGGCCCCTTTTTCCCATAACTTAAACTTCGACTTCCCATCGAAAACAGGAGGAGAACCTGAGGCAAACTGTGAAACACATCAGGAACACGGAGCCTCTCCCCAACGAAAAGAGTTCCTTCTTCAGCGCACCGACTGTACGCACGGCAAGTTCGTGGCGTGACGACCCCACCCCGGCGTTTCTGACGCCGCGTTAACATTCAACCCCGAACGATCGGTGGCTTTTCGAGATGCCTCCCAATGAGGTCAGAGCAGATGGGGTCGGAGGATCGCGCCGCATCGACGACGCATCGACGATGCATCGACGAGCGATGCGGCGCGATGCGTCGGCGACGACGCCGTTGGAAACATCGAGCTCCGCACCAAGCCACATCACCGATACGTCGGCGAAGCGGCGCGATCCTCCGACACCATCTACTCGGACGCCATCTGGGCGCCTAGATTTTGGATGGCGCGGATCCCCGCATGCTGCTGGCCGACTCCGGGTCACTGGCGGCGTTCCGCCCTGACCGCCAGCGCAGGGGCTGCAGCCGCGTCGACACGCCGCGAACCCTGAGATCTGGCGCGGCGGAACTGAAATACAACACTGCGTAACATCACGACCAGAGCCCTACCACTCCCCGAGACAAGAATGGATGAAGCAGGCACAGGGTCATGCGGTATTCTTGTGATCGTTGTGAGGTCGCAGCGAGGCCATGTGGCCTGTGGCCGTCCGCCTCCCTTCCAATATTCGCGGGGCGGGGCCGCCGCACGCAATGCCCCGGGCCAATTTTCGTTGGGGGCTGGGGGCGGGGTAGGCGGGATTGAACCTTCCCATATTTTTGTCCCAGGAGGGTTGTAGACTACATCTTTCTGCGGGGAGTTTTGAAGCCAGATCAATTTGTTATGCTCCCAGGGCCAGAAACTGGGCGAAGAGGCCCAGTGTGGAACAACGGCAACGCCAGGATCTCAAGGAACCCAGCGTGACGGGATCCCTGGCCGGCTGGACGTGACGGGGCAGTGAGACCCCACGCAACGCCACACCCCCTAGGAGGTCTGTTGACTTCGAGGACTCAAGGGGGCGACTCCTGGGAAGTCTTCGCACGAACGATTCGGCTATTGACACGGATTAAGTGGGCCATTCAGCCAAATTGTGCCTTCTTTAAACTTGATTCCGCTAGAAAAAACAGGACTGAGCGGCATTAGGCTGGATTTCACCTTTCTCGACAACGGATCCAGCGATGATCACGAGGGACTCCCAGGAGGCCCAACAAGGAAAACGGGAGAAGGGTATCAGAAGCAATAGCGGTGCCTATTCCTCATCTGAGATATCCGTCACCGTGCCTCTGGGCACGGAGTGGGCTTGTCATCAGGTCCTTTGCCGAATCCTCTAAGCCTCAATCCTCACCCCTGAGGGGTCTTTCAGGGGCCCGGACCCCGAATTCGGACATTTGCAAGGCTTGCCGCATTCCCCCTGGGCTCCGGGAAATGGTGGCGCGTGAACTGCTCGGGCCTACGAGGACCCCCATTCGGAGCAAGAGGGCCCCAAGTGGCCCCGAAGGCGACCCAAGAGGGCTCCGAGTCGCCGAAAGATTGGCCGAATACGCCGAAGATGGCTCCAAGACGGCCCAAGAGGCGTCCAAGACTCCCTAAGAGGCCTCCAAGGGCCTCCCCTTGCTTATCCGTAGGTTTTGGAAGATTTTGGCTGTCTCGACATTTCTTTCCGACGTTCCAAGACGACCCAAGAGGCCCCCAAGACCACCAGAAGAGGCCTCCAAGAGGGTCCCAAGACGGCCAGATAGCGCTCCAAAACGAGCCAAGAGACTCCCAAAACGACCCTAAGACGGCCCTAGAGGGAGCGCGAACCGAAAATCCATGCCTTCCGCCCCAAGAGGCTCAAAAGAGGCCCCCAAAAAGGCTCCCAGAATCGTCCAAACTGCCTCCAAAAGGTACCCAAGAGGCCTCGCACGAGATCCCAACGAACATCCAATAGGCTTCATGCCCACAACCCAGGCACGGTGACGGGGTGTGCCGCAGGTCATCAAATACCCGCGCCGATGCTGAATTGAACATCCGATGAATTGCAGTCCACCTCCTACTGGAACGGTGGTGCAACTTTTGCAGGTCCTGTCGAAGAATCGTCTGGGGGACTTCCACGGGTGCAGAATTTCATCCCGGGTCCCTCTCTGAAGGTCCCGGGCCGCAGGCCAAACATTGCGAAAAACCGAAGGCGAGTAACGCAAACGAATCTACGATTAACATTGCATTACATTGGATACCCGAAATGGGCACGGAAAACAGGGGCACGAACTCCAACAACACTATGTTCGACGATTCTTGATTATTATCATTCATTGTTTAACTATTTTGACTGGGGTGTTGGGCAGGCGGCCTTCGGTCTCCACCGACACCGAGTCCTGTTCCAAACTGTACCGAATTCGTTCGTGCCGAATTTCTTTTCCAGGCCAGCGTGCTGGGGTTCGTGTCGCGTCGACCCTGGCACTGGCTCTCGACACCGCGGGTGTTGTGCAACCTTGAGCGATCAACCAAATCCGAAAAGTCAAACCGTCCAACATCGACCGACTCTGGGTCGACGGCTGCGTTCAGCGTTGACTGCTGGCGGCCGGGCCGCCGCCCGGACACGGCGCAAACCTACCGTACCGGTTTCGTTCGTGCCAAATCACTCTTCCAGGGCAGCGTGCGGCAGAGGGAAACAACTATTCGTGAACACTCCCCAAGGGGAGGCTGCGGTCGAAGCGCTGATCGTTCAGCCCACCGCCAACATGGATCATTGGGGGGGCATTGACAGACGAGTGTGGCACACATGTGGCAGGCGTGTTCGCTAACATCTTCCGAGGCCTGCGGGAGTAGGGAGCCCCAAAAGGACGTACGCGCCCAGCTATGCACATGAACGCGGCCCCTCGATCCACGAGACCGGCCGCGTTATACGAACATTTGCGCACTGCGTACTCTCGCAGGCAGCGTGGATTCATGTACATGTGCGTCCTTCTCTCGCCCCCGAGGGAGGAGGGAGGGCGCGGCCGCGCGGCGCGTCGGGGGCCGGAGGCGGGCCTGCGGCGATCAGGGTCAGGCCCAGTATCCGGGGGTCGAAGGGCGTGGCTTTGCCGACAACCTCCGCTCCACTGGCCGAGTAGGGGATCGACGATGCACTTGATCTACCCCAATATATGGACTTCCCTCGCCGAAACTGCGACAAACAAATGCCATGTTCGTAGATCTGATAACATTCTTTTCAGCATTGCAGATTCGACGAAACACCAATTTTAGGGCATACCAATTCTGTAGTCACTGCCCAAGACAAGACAGGACAAGAGCCCGCGTCAGGGCACCTACGAGGGTGCGGCGGGTGGGCGCTGGGGCGCTGGCATGGGCTGGCCGCTCAGAAGCTGGAGCCGGGCATTGGGAGCCGGGGTCGGGGGAACCGGAGCAGGTTCCGCAGCCGGATTCGGACACGGCCTGGTACGGCGGGTATGGCTGAGGGCTGCGCACAGACCGGCCCTCCCGGTAGTCCCGGCTGGCCTCCACAGGCCCCCCGAATAGCCTCGGCTGGCCTCGACAGCCCCCCCGAGTATTCCGGGGCGGCCTCAGCACCTCAACCCTCGGGCGCGGAGCGCCCCAGGGGCGCCGAAGGAGGGGGCGCCAGGGTGTTGAGACCGCCCCGAACTACTCCGGGGGGCCTGTTGAGGCAAGGTGGGTCTACCCCGGGGGCCTGTCGAGGCCAGCTGGGACTATCCGTGGGACCTGTCTGTGCGCCACCCGAAGCCTTATCACCCCGACTCGGCTCCCCAGGCCCAGCTCATCCGCGACCGGGCATTGTCGGTATAGCGGAGCTCGGGCGCGCCGCATTTCGGTTGCGACCGGAGGGGGTCGAGCGTCGGTTTAGCCGAAACTCGACCGGCGCTTGGACCCCGTCGCGCCGTCTCTTCGTAAACGGGTTACGAAAAGACGGCGCGACGGTGTCCAAGCGATGGTTTCTCTGGCGTCGACCTCTGACGCACGGAATGGGTACGGACAAAAAATGAATATGATGCCCGACAACACGTGCTGTCCGAAACCGACAGCGGCCGCTGTTGGGCAGGCAGCCTTCTGCCTCAAATGAACGATGTCCACGGCGACATCGACAGCGAGTCCAATTCAGAATGAACAGGAAATGCTGTCGGTCTCTGTATCCATTCTTTTCGTACCCGTTTCGATCGTCTCGATCGACGGCTCGTTCGATACCAGAATTTGCAACCAGTTGGCCGAATTTCGGTCGCGCCTGGGTTCGTCCAGAGCGTTACCGAAAATATTCGGTTACGGATGATATTGGAGCCTCCCCTCGGCTTTCCCAGCCAGCTAACGTCGTCATTTGTCCTCCACGCGGGGGCACGATACAGTCGATGCGCATAGTAAGGATACACGGTAAGAATGCACAGGCCTTAGCAGGCCATGTCGACACCTTTCAAGAGGGGCGCGGCCAGCGAAAGTGGCCAAGGAAGACGAAGGGGAAGGATGCAAGGGTAACATTGGCCAGTTGCTCATCTTCACTATGCGACCTGACTGTAAGGGGGCTGGGGCTCGAGGTTCGAGATGTTTGGAAATCTTTGTCGGTTCCTGGCGGCGTCTCGAAGTCGGGGTGGCTTCCAGCGGCTGCGCCTCGCCGAGGGTGTTCTGGGGGCGACGGAATCGTCCTGAGCGGCCGCTGGAGAGCCGAGCTATGGACTGGGGATCGGCTCGGGGGGAGAACCATCGACCCTGCATCGGCCATGCACCGCCCATAGCTCGGCGTTGGGCCCCCGACGGCAAATCCGCAATCCTGGGCGGGATGGGCTATCGGGCCCATATCGACGATGAAAGGGCATTGGGGGTCGATGGGTTCCCTCCGACCCCTCCGAAGCCTATCCCCCACTGACGTTGCCCCTGATCTCCAGTCATCTGACATCGTGATGTTTTCCGAAAGCGTGTCTCCCCAAACGTCTGGACCCTTCCCCGGGACAAGCGTTTTGATACAAATTGTTTGACGGTCCTGGGGCCCAGCGAGGGCCCCGGAACTCGGGAACTGCCAAACACCTTGCGTCGTGATGTTTGAGAGAACGCTTTTCGTGGACGCTTGCCTGGAACAAACCCTGGACACGTCGGAACCGACCCTCCCGAAACATTTAGAACGCCCAGAGAGGTGGGGGAGGGCCCGCCCCCCCAGACACCGGCCTGTCTCACGCCCCCCCCCCCCGTCCTCCACCCAAAGGGGAGGTGGGGGCCGAAGGGGGGGGGGGGAGGCCTTTCCAAAGAGGGGGGGGGTTCAGACCGCCCCCCCAACACCCCCCGAGAAAGAAGGATTGTGGACCCCGTCAGGGTCGCAGGCGCAAGCGCGAGAGTTGGCGCGTGAGTCTGTGAATGCTCTGCGTGCTCTGTGACGTCCTCCTTTCCTTCCTCCTCCTCTTCCTCCTCCTCCCTTTCCCCCTCCTCCTCCTCTTCCTCCTCCTCTTCCTCCTCCTCTTCCTCCTCCTCTTCCTCCTCCTCCTCTTCCTCCTCCTCCTCCTTTCGCTCCTCCTCCGCCTCGTCCTCCTCCTCCTCCTCCTCCTCCTCCTCCATCGTTTGATAAAACCGACCCCCCCAAAAAACAAAATCTGGATGAAGGATGGATGGCCGTTGTGCTTGTTGTTTGCTTTGAGGTGGGGCAGTTGAAAACACAATCCTCCTCCTCCTCCTCCTCCTCCTCCTCCTCCTCCTCCTCATCCTCCCCCTCCCCCTCCTCCTCCTCTTCAATCGCCTTCGCCTCCTCCTCCTCCTCCCAGCACCTTCTGAGCCCCGCTGGCCCCCGAGCGAAATCCTGCTGGGCCCTGCTAGCCCCTGCTAAATCGTGGTGGGCACTGCCAACCACTGCTAAGCACTGCTGAGGTTTGCCAGCCCCTGCCGAGCCCTGCTAATGCGCCCTGCCAGCCACCGATACGCCCTGCTAGACCCTGCTGTTAAGTCACGCTGAGGAGCCCCGCTGGCGCCCTGCAAAAACACGAGATGCCCCGCGAAACTCTGCCAAGTTGTCCTGAACCATGCTAAGCTGTGGTAAGCCCTGCCAGGCCCTGATATTCAATACCAGCTACAGCCCAGCACTGCTAAGACAGGCCATGCCATGGGAAGCCTTGCGAAACCCTGCGACGGTTGCTTGAGCCCTGCTCCGCCCTTCTAAGCTCAGATGTGCCAGATGGCACCGTTCTGAGCCCTTCCAGGCCCTGCGAAACCCTTGTAAACTCTTCTCAGCCCTGATAAGGCATAATCTTGCCTGGTGATCTTTGCCAGGCCCGGATTTGGCTGCTCGTTCTGGGGACCTTCCTGGAGCCACTCGCTCCACTCGTGCGTCGACGCTGCTTCGAACGTCCGTCGACTCGAGTCGAACCTGAGACGAACCTGAGTCGAACCTGAGTCGAACTGGAGTCGAACTGGAGTCGAAGTGGAGTCGAACTGGAGGCAAACAGATCCATTAGGTCGGCCCCAGAAAGGTCCCCAAAACGAGCATCGAACCGGTTGAGCCCTCAGGAAGGCCCTGCGACGATCTGCTGAGCGCCGAGCTCACGTGGAAACGGCACCCGTCGCTAATCCACGCGCCTCAACCCATGCTTACGTTCCCTCGAACTCTGGCGAAGAGCCCCTCTCACGAGTAGCCGACCTTCTCCCTCTGACGCCCCCCCCGCCTCCGGGGAAACCAAAAGGTACCGATACCGCTACTCCCCCGACCGCTCCCGGGTTCGGTCTGCATGGCGTCTTCAGCGCAGCGCACACCCCCGTCAATGATACCCTCTGGCGTCTATTCGCGGATTTCCGAGTTCCGAGTTCTCCAGCGGTGGCGACGAGGCCCTCCCAGGCCCCCAAAAAGGGAAAACGAGGGAAGTGTAGAGGTACCCAGCGATCCGATGTAGTGATGTTTTCAATGCGGGGTCCCTGGAAGTCTAGACCGTCCCCAAGACCAGTTTGTCATCCTGAGCCGTTTTCTGACGGTCCCAGGGTCTGGGGAGGGCCCCTAGAGGCCGGTCGGGAGCTCTCTTCTTTTCATGTGTCGGATGCTGAATCACCACCACTTCCGCTACGCTGCCCTTCAACCCAGCCTGGCGGTCAAGCCCAGCCTAACTTAAGACCTGCCAATATCCGCCCTCCTCCAGCCCTCTCGCGCATACGGGCTGCCCTAGGGCTGTCATCCAGCTGGTGGATGATCCTTCGAGAAGGCGCGCGCTTCCTTGGCTGCCTCTGAGACGATCCGCGGTCTCCGCAGCTGCCATGACTACATCCACAGGGCGGGTGGTAACGCCAGGACGACACAAAACACATGGCGGCAATCTCTGGACCACGCCATTCGAGACAAATACTATTGAGGCCCTTTGCCTGCACTGGGCAGCCAGACTCAGCCCTGGTGGAATTATTGAGAGCCAGGGTGACGAGCGCACGTGCCTCTACAACTCATTGACGCTAACTGTTCTCCTAACATTATAACCCTTCGCACCTGTGCCCATCAAACGCGGACATCGTATGCTGCTGCATTGCTCTGGCACGGGGCTCTCATACTGCTGTCCCTCCTCTGCCACGGCAAGCTCCTGGCCTGACGTCGAGCATCCCGTGTGGCGCTCAGCGTTGAACGACCTCTGCCCTCAGATGATGCCCCCCGAGACTGCCGACCCCGTCTCCTTCAAAGGACTCCACCCTTCGGCGTTGGCTTCTGAGGGGATCCGGTGCCGGACGTCCCGGGCGGCCTATGGAATCTGCGGGCAGGCCTCCAATCATCTGACTGACCCCAGACCTCCGAAGGATGTTTTTTCTTTCAGAATTATCATCATCACGGAATGTGCCCTCCACCTCGGCCACCGCATGCACGGGGACGTGTCTGGGCCAAGGGCGCATAAGCAAGGGGCCCTGGGGGTGAAGAGCCACCCCCGGAGGAGGGGCCAGGAGCTCTGCAGACCGCCGCGCGGAACAAGTGCATCGTCGGATGGCTGGGCTCCGAGGCGTGCCTACCGGCTTGGGAGTCGATGCCTCAGGACACCAGGAGGCAGCGGACGTGGGTACCCATCGGTCTGAAGAAATGGGTAGACTCACGAAGCAGGAAGGCGTTGAAAAGGGATGATCGGACTTCCGCCCGGAGGGGAAACCGTTCGATCCATGAAGTAGGCGGGCACCTAAAGAAGGCTGAAATCTGGGAGTCCAGCAAACCTACTTGCAACGACCGATGGGGCAACTACTCGCAGGCCCCCGGGGGCACAGACAGAGAAGGAACCGCCAACTCCACGAGCATGAACTTCTCTGCGCCCCGCGCGGACCTTGGAAGAATGATGTTTATGCCGCTGGTCCTCCCTCCGACCAAAGGCATCCGCATCGGCTGCCTCCTGTCGGGAGCGGCCAAGAGGGGGGTGTCCAAGAGGGGGGGCTGCAAATCATGACCGGCGGCACGTGCGCGGCCCAGCGGGGGGGGGCCAGGGACGCCATGAAACAAGAAGAGGCGCCATGAAATCTGGGGAACTATCATGACCCCCGCCATGATATCCCCCCCCCCCTAGTCATCGCCCCCCTCTTTCCCGCCCCCGATGCTGGGTGCCCCGAGGCATCGGCTCCCAGAGCGGCGGACCTGCAACACCTCGGGCCCGGGACAGCCCTCCGCCGGCGCAGGCCGCCTCCCGCTGCCGTTGCGCGGTGCCCGAAGAGCTGCCCCCACCCCGCGAGGCCCCCTCCGTGGAGCAGTTGACCATGATCTCGCTGAACTTTGCCACCCAGAGGATGGCCAGGCAGAAGGTCAGCACGAAGAGGCCCCGCGACCCCTCGCGGCGGACGTCCGGGACGGTCAGCCACAGGGCGAGGTGCAGGGGGAAGGTCAGCACGTAGTAGCCCCACGCCTGGGCGCACCGAGGCCCACCGCTCCGCGCACGGAGCAGGGAAGAGAGCACCGAGCCGAGGGAGGGCAGGACGCAGCACGGCCGCTTCGCGTCGTGCCGACCCAGGCGCTGGTACCTGACGCCGAGGGGCTCGTTCAACCTTGAACGATTCGGCCTTTCCCGAGACGTCACCCCCTTCAACATCGGCCAATTCTGGGTCGCCGGCGGCGGTCAACGTTGAACGCCGGCGGCGGGGTCGCCGCCAATCGACAAGACGTGAACCTACCGTAATAGGGGGGATGGGCGGCTCGAGTCCCCGACTTTGTAAGAAAACGCGGCATAAATATAAACTTGTGGAGTGCCGCGCGGACTTCTCGGATTGGCGTTGAAACCCCCTCACCAGCGCGCGGACCGAGCCAGGGGCGGCGCCAGAGGCACCGTCAGGGGGCTCTACCGCCGATCCTGGAGATCCGCGAGGAGCTTTACAAGTTCATGTCTAGTATGCCATGTGCTCTCCTTCGATGTGTGGAAGAAGTTTTGACTAAACGAACAAGTGTGGGAGCCCAACTCAGGGAGGATCTGCGATGGGGAGTGCCTATCCTTGACAGTGGGGTGCGTCCGAACAGCATCCTGGGGGTGCATCCCCGAGTTTATACCCTTTGTTCTAAGCGGTCTGCGTATTATTGGGATGGGCTTGAGCTGGATCGAAACGCGACATCGGATCGCAAACGGATGAGCGCCAGTCCATCGTCCGGTTTCGAATCAAAATCGGATCGCCGCGCCACGCCCTGGCTGACCCTGGCCGATGCCTGCAAACCGAACCGAACCGGATTCAATCGGAATCGCGCCCTGGGCCAGCGAGTCGAATCGAATCGTTTGGAGAACTTGGGGACTCCCGGACGTCCAGTGGCCCGGCAAGGGTCTCCGGAGGCCGAGGACGCCAAAACACGTCGTCGTGCGCGTTTGCGAGGCGAGGATGCCAGGGCCTGCTCTGCGTCCAGCGATGCCTCGCACAGCGGCCCCGAAGATGGCTCCCCTGACATCCGCCGCATGGATGCTTCAATCCGCGGCCCCCGAGGTCCCGACCACTTCCATAGGGGTAATTGCCGTCCAGGATGTATGTGCGGTTACCTTACCTTGGGGCCCGACAGTGGGCTCCAGGGGCCGAACTCGACGACAGACGCCAGGATTGAAACGATCATATCGTCGGAGGTCTAAGCATGATAGACCAGAACCGAATCGATGCCAGATCAACGATCGAACTGAATCGGATCAACGGACATCGGTAATCGAGTCGGAAGAGCCGAATCGGCGGAAATAGGCAGGCTACAAAGCCTCCATTGAGAAATCGGAAGCCCAATCATAATCCGAAGTCGAATCGGAATCGGAAGCCATCGAAATCGAATCGAATCGGATTGGAGGAATCGAAACGTGTGCTGTCTAGGTCGCCAAAAAGGTCTGCAACGGGGCGGCGGGGTCGAGGTCCCCGTTCCTGAGCCCCCCTGGGAGGTCGGCGGGCGTCTTCCAGTCACAGTTTCTCTCCTCCCTGGATCGCCAAGAGCGCCCTGGAACCTCTCGAAGCCCTCTGCACCTCCCCCCCGCTCCTCCCTCCTCCCTCGTCCTCCCTCGACCTCCCCCCCCCTTTCCGCCTTCTTACCCCCCCATTCCCCGCAATGCCCAGAACCACGCCCCGAACACCCTAGACATCTCACGGAACATGCCACCGACCGCAGATCAAGACCCTGCCCCTCGCCAACCCCTCCCTCCACCGCTCCTCCCTCCAGGCCTCCACACATCCACTTACTCAAGTCACCCAGGCTCCCAGACGTCTGCTGAAGTGGATTATAGCCAATTTCGCAGCAGATTCAGCAGCAGAAGGCCAAAAGCGCCTCCTCCTCCTCCTCCTCCTCCTCCTCCTCCTCCTCCTCATCATCATCATCATCATCATCATCATCATCATCATCATCATCATCATCATCATCGCCCTGCTGTTCCTTCTCTCTTTGCCCCGCCTCCTCCTCCTCCTCCTCCTCCTCATCCTCGTGCCTCCGTCCTTCGTGGTTTCCTCTCCTCCCTCCTCCTCCTCCTCCTCATCCCTCCTCCCTCCTCCTCCTCCTCCCTCCTCCCTCCTCCTCCTCCCTCCTCCCTCCTCCCTCCTCCTCCTCCTCCCTCCTCCGCCTCCTCTTTCCTCCTCCTCCTCCTCTTCCTCCTCCTCCTCCTCTCCTCCTCCTCCTACTCCTCCTCCTCCTCCTCCTCCTCCTCCTCCTCCTCCTCCCCTCCTCCCCCCCTCCCCCTCCTCCCCTCGTCCCACCCACCTCCTCCTCCTCCTCCTCCTCCTCCTCCTCCTCCTCCTCCTCCTCCTCACCGTCATTCTCGCTACCCCACGCTCCAGGATCACCCCGATGCTGCGTGGACCCATCAGGATCCCACCAACCCTGTGGGCGCACGCGCATGATTTGAGAATTCTAGATTCCAGCCGCGTTCTCCCCCCACGGGGGTTGACCCCTCCCCCCACTTGGTGCGGTGGACAGGGGGGGATGGGGGGGCGGGGCGATCCATGGCAGCGTCCAAGATAGCGCAAGAATATTGCGCTATCTTGGACGCTGCCATGGATGGTGTCCAATAACGTACAGAGTAGCCCACCGTATCCGAATACACATTCCAACGTGCCTCTGAGAGGGAGGAGAGGGGCCTCAAGATGGCTCCGAGCAGCTATGTATTATCCCCCAACGCCCCCGAGTTGAAACGCATGAAGCACCCAAATCGAGGAAACAACTTTCTCCAGGGTCCGCACGGATTCCTTGGATTGGCGTTGGATCCCCATCCCTAGCGTGCAAAACGCGCCAGGGGCGGCGCCTGAGACGCCGCTAGGGGGGCCCAAGCGCCAACCGAAGATTCCGCGAGGAGCTCCGCAAAATCATGCCTACGCAAATATTTGTGATTCGACCGAAATTGATCAATGTGTCTTGACTCCTCGCCGTTTCGCCACCGATGGGCCTCCAGATCCGTGCGCGGCGACAGAAGCACCGACAACCGACCGAACCGACAGCGAAACCGACAGCGACCGAAACCGACAGGCCGAAAGCAGCCTAGAATGGAGCAGCAACGCGGCATCGACACAATAACCGACCGAACCGAACCGACCGAACGCAACCGACTGCGACGCGACGCAACCGAACCGACCGAACTGTGAACACCCTTGGCCTCTGAGGCCTCATTGATGACCGCACGAAGGCAAACTCTGACCTTGTCCCTCCAGGCACGGTGTCCTGGGCCGAACGCCACGTCACCACCCTTTCGAAGCTGAGCAGGGCCGCGGCGAAGAGGAGGAATACGAAGAGTGGAGAGAAATAGTGAGATTCAGGTCCCGCTCTGCTCATCCCTCCTCCTCCTCCTCCTCCTCCTCCTCCTCGTCCTCCTCCTCCTCGTCCTCGTCCTCGTCCTCCTCCTCCTCGTCCTCCTCCTTCTCCTCCTCCTCCTCCTCGTCCTCCTCCTCCTCGTCCTCCTCCCAGAGGGCCCAGCAACACAAAGGTACGAAGCCCGACTTGTCCGGGTGATGCTCATACACTGTCCACCAGGCATGCAGGGAAGGCACTTTTGACTGTTCTGTACCATTCAGATCTGGCTTCAGCGTGAGCTGCGGATGCGCTACGACACGCATTCGGGTTAACCAACCCGAATCGGTTTTCCGCTCGTATGGGTGCCTCCCTCGCACATCCCCCTGGTCCTCCTCCCTCCTCCCTCCTCCACCCTCTTCATCCCCCCTCCTCGGGAACACATGAAGGTCCGTACCAATACCGTTACTCCACGGACCTCTCCTGGGGTGCGTTCTGATCAGGGGAGAAAATATGTTTCATCCCCCCCCGTGCCGTCCATGACGGGGGGGGGAGCTGGGCCCTCGTGGGAGGGCAATGGTACCGTGGGCGGGCTTCGAAGGGGGGAGGGCCGGGGCGCCAGACGACGCCGACTACGACGACGACGTCGACAACGACGACTACGACGACGACGACGACGTCAACGACAACGACGACAACGACGACAACAACAACGACAACGACGACGACGACGGCCGTCACTGAGGGTCTCTCGAAGTCTCCGGAGGCCTCATGATGTCTCTGGAGACCTCTGGAGGCGCCTGGGAGCCCTTCGAGGCCCTTGGAAACGACGACGACGAGGAGGACGAGGACGAGGACGGGGCCGACGACGAGAACGACGACGACAACGACGACGCCGACGATGACGACGACGCGGATAAGGGCAAGGACGACGAAGACGACGCGAACACAGACGACGAGGGCGATGACGACGACGACGACAACGACGACACCGCCGACGATGGTGAGAGCGAGGACGAGGACGAGGACGAGGACGGCGATGACGACGACGATTACAAGGACGACGACGACGACGGCCACCTCTGAAGATCGCCAGACGTCAACACCGGCTTCTGGAGGTCTCTGGAGATCTCTGGAGGCGTCTGGAGGTTTGCCGAGGCCCTCGGAGACCACGACCGCGACGGAGACGGCGACCGCGACGGCGACGGCGACGGCGACGACGGCGACGGCGACGGCGACGGGGACGCGACGGCGACGGCGACGGCGACGACGACGACGACGACGATGACCAGGAAGACCAGGACGACGACGACGACGACGACGACGAGGACGAGGACGACGACGACGAGGACGACGCCGACTACGACGAGGACGGCCACGACGACGACGATAAACACGACGACAACGACGACGGCGACAGCCGCCACTGAGGGTCACCAGAAATCTCCCGAGGCCTCTGGAGGTCTCCGGAAGCCTCTAGGGGCGTCTGGAGGCCCTTCCAGGCCCTTGGAAACGACGGCGATGAGGACGAGGAGGACGAGAATGAGGACGGGGACGATGACGGCGAGGGCCCCTGGAAGCCGAAAACGACCAAAGACTGTGCGCACATGCTGCTACGACCAATCGCTTGACCCTCCTTCTCTCAGAGACCTGAGCTCAGTCTGCTATTCGAGGTATGACTGAAGACTATTCTCGCTCTGAAGCTGTTCTTAGTCTGTCGACACACGTCGATTTGGAAACCTCGAGACTCAGAGCAGCCACAGAGCTCTCGATCACCCCACTCGAATCGACAGCCTCGGAAACATTGAATGTTTTACGACTCGGGCACGTCTGGGTCATCCCCATTCTCTTTGGACGCCCGAAATGGGTACGGAAAAAATTGGTACAATGCCCAACAACAAATGTTGTCCCAAACCAACAGCGGCCGCTGCTGGGCAGGCGGGACTCTGTCTCGAATGGACACAGGCCGCGGCGGCGCGGACAGCGGATCCGGTTCGGAATGAACAGGAACTGATGTTGGGCATCGTACCCATTCTTCCCGTGCCCATCTCGGGCGTCCAAAATTCTCCCTCCAGCCTCCCTCCGCCTCCTCCCTCGCCGCGAGGGGGGGGGGGCGCGTGAAGAGCGGGGGGCGGGCCTTGAGGCCGGAGCCCCTCGCCGGCGGAGCGAGCGAGAGCGGCCGCTCGAGCTCCTGCGGCCCCGGCAGGGGGTGAGGAGGGGGCGACGGGGGAGAGGAGGCGATGGGGACGGGGGGGGAAGGGGGGGAGGAGGGAGGGGGGGGAAAGCAGGCCTCGGCGAAAACTGGCGAACACTCGTGCCACCTTCATCTGTGAACGCCTCCCCCTCCCCCCAATGTTCAGAGCTGGCGGTGGGTCTGATGAGGTGCACCTCGACCGAAGTCTCCCCCGCGCGTGCCAACTCTGAGTTTGGGGGGCAGGGGGGGGTGTTCACTACAAGTGTTTCCCGCTACCGGATTATTCATGCTGGGTGCGACCCGTGTGCAGTGAGGGTCGAGGAGGTCCGCGAGACAAAGCGCAGCCTGCCTGTTGCAATTCTCCACGGGTCTTGGTCGAAGCGGGCCTGGGTGCCGCGGATCCGATTTCTGTCGGCCCGCTGACTGAATTTACGAGTCTCAATTCCTGACAACGTATGCCCGAATCCGTGGGGAGAAGCATGACGGACATCATATCCACAACATCTGGAATCGGATCCACGCGGACGGAATCCGGATACAACCGCAACACACATGCAAACCCCATTTTGATCAGTGCCGACTATAACTTGGATCTGCCAAGGTTTATCTCATGCGAGTCGGTACAAGAGAAAAGCCAAGAGAAACAGGCTTTCGTCCTGGGCCCAGGAAGGCAACATCTTTCTGCAACATTTGCCGAGCGGGGTCAATCTGCGATGGCCCCCGGGCCCGAGACCATAGGGAAACGTCCAGAGTGAAAACAATTGCAACGCCCGGCTGTAAGGGGGAGAGGGGGAACTGTTTTTTTGCCGTTGCCCTGAAGTCGGGCGTGTCCCCTACAGGGGGATTCTCGACGAAGAATAAAACATACCCCCAAAATAAGCAAAAAATAGTCCAACAATAGTCTGGGCACTATTTGTTTGTGCATGTTTTGTTGGAGGTGCTTTCGATTTTTCGTCGAAAATCCCCCTGTAGGGGGAACCGCCCGACATAATGTTACCCATGGGAGGGCACTGCTGCCGAGGACCCTCCCGGAGCCGCCTCCGCGAGATCCGCGAGCTCCGCGAGATCCGCGAGATCCGCGAACGGCGCGGGCGCCGCCGGGAGCCGCCGCCGGACGCCGCAGGGGAGGAGGAGAGAGAGGAGAGGCCAGGCCGGGTGCGCTCGCGGCTTACCTGGCGGTCTCGCCCTCCCTCCAGGGCAGTTGTTCATACATGGGATGTTTAAACATATAGGATGTTCCATACATGATTCATGTATGGATAAGTTTCTGCATGGACTCATCGTTGCTTTCAATACTAAATCCCTGCATTTTTAATACATGATCCGCACGCGGAGCATGTATAAAAACGGCACTGTCCCATCCCTTCCCACTGCGCGGAAGTCCTCTTCATCCGCGGGCGCGTGTCATAGCAGACCCCGAATTCCCAAAAAGGACCGCGTCGTGTGGTGCGCCATGTGGGAAACAGGAAGCTGAGCACTACGCGACGGCCTGGGAAATTGGCCATGCGCCAACTTCGCAAGATATAGAGAGGAAAGAGAACTATGCACATACACCGATTCTGGCCAGGCCCATCCTGAGCCCAGGATCGGTGCATACGCCCTCCTACCTTGGCCAGGAAGGCATATGCACCGATCCTGGGTCAAGGATGGACCTTGCCAGGATCGGTGCATGTGCATAGTTCTCTTCGCCCGAGATATAGCCGTCCCGTTCTGGTCGGTCCCCCAAAATGGTAAGGACCGAGGCCTCTGCAGACCCCACAGCCGAGGACACGCTCCCAGTCTGCCCCCCCCCCCCCCGGGCGAACCACTACCGAAGCTGGTGAGAAAGGAGGGGGGAGGGAGGAGGATGAGGAGGAGCAGGAGAAGGAAGAAGAAGAAGAAGACGAGGCAGAGGAAGGGGAAGAAGAGACACGGGATCGTCTGTTATACCTTGTCGCTGCTTCTGTTCCGCAGGCTCCAGCACGAAGGCCCGCCAGGGGGATCTCTGGGGGCGAGACGGGGGGACGAGGCGAACTCCACAGCATCGCATCGGGAAGCAGGGCATCATCGGACCGTGCGGGGGGGCCGTCGGTACCTCGTGGGCGATCTGAGCCTCTGCTGGGCCGGCGTGCCCCCTTGGGGCCAGTCTAGGGGCATCCTGGAGCCTCTGGAGAGCTCCTGGGCCTTTCCAAGAGGCCTGAAACCAGATTGGCCAAAAACATGAAACGGACCAGATACCGGGCAGCACTGAGTTTGATCGCGGCAGCTGTTGGCGTCGACCAGGACCGTCTGTCTTTGGGACAGCTGTGTAACAACATGCGCTGCCCTGGAGAGGTCATGACGCAGACTGAATCAACATCGAATCGGGAAATCGGATCAGATCGGAATGTGCGTCGGACTCGGCTGCACTGGCACGGAATCGACATCGAATCGGTTAAGCTGCGCCAAGATGCACCACAACGCCATACAGGCGTCGAGCTACATCGGGTCGCCAGAATATCGGAATCGAGTCGGATCGAGCAGGCAGGAGTCGGCAGCGAACGGGATCGATCGGATCGAGATGGAGTCCCGTAGAGCCGCGGATTTCCAAAAGAAGCATCAGCTTGAGAACGAGGCCCCTTGTTTGGCCCCAACGGCGCCAAGATGCTACCATGAGAGCGCCCGAGGAACGCCCTAAAGGCAGGACAGGGATCAAGGCGCTTCGAGCCTATGTCCGAGGTCAGAGTGGCCACTGTGGAAATGGGCGCGAGCCAAAAGGGCAACAAAAGGAGAGAGGCGGCAGGGGGGGCAGGGGAAGGAATAAGACAAGGAAAGAGTGGGAAGGCAAAATTGGCCAGACCACCTCAGGTCAAGGCCCTCGCGCACAAGGTTGAGAAGACGGTCGCAGACGCAACTTGCCCGACCACATCGCGCGCGAGCTTCTCGGAGTCAAGTCGCCAAATGTCTCAGGCGAAACTCGCGGTTCCGCCTCAGGTAAGGGCTTATCTGAACCTGGAGATGCGGGGACGCCTCAGGCCAAAACTTCTGGGCCACCTCGCGCGCGGCATCTCGGGGCCCAGTTGCGAGGACGTCCCAGGCAAAGCAGGCTCGACCACGTCTTGCACGATGTCTCCGAGTCCCGAGGTCGCTGCTAGGATCGGAGAGACGTAAGACTCGGGTACGGGGGACTCGGGTTGGCCTGACGGGTCCATCCTGAAAATGACGAAACCAAATCTGAAATTTGACGCGAACTCCCGCTGCAAACATTCCACGATAACCGGACCGTCAAACTCCAGGACGCGCTCGTAAACACAACGTCGGCAAACCCGAGTTGCGGCTTACTCTAGTCTTAACTTACGTCTCCCCGATAGGATGCCTCGGGCGAAACTGGCTGGACCAACCCGCACGCGGCAGCTCAGATCCCCTGGTTCCGAGGATGTCTCCGGCGAAGCGGGCCCGACCAGGACTCGCGCGACGTCGCCGCGCCCCACGACGCGAGCATGCCTCAGGCGCACTTGGCCGGACCACCTCGCGCGCGAGGTATGACAACAGCGCTGCGCAGGCATCGGGTCGCATAGCATCCGCGGAGCACCGACATCGGCTCGGCTCGGGCCGGCCGCACTCGAGACCGAACCGATCGGATCGAAATGGGCCCCATGCGGTGGTGGCCGTGCGCCCCCCGCCCGCAGCTCCAGGACCCCGGCGGGCAAGCACGAGCGAGCGCGGCCCACACCGTCGGCAACACGCAAGAGCGACCCTGGGTAAGAGCGGCCCTTGGTGCGCGGCCTTCTGGGACCGCAGGGGGGACGAGAACAGGCGCGCAAAAGCCGCTGCTGCCGCTCCTCTTTCGGCCATGTGGGGGCCCATCTGTGCCCGCACCAAAATCGGGAGCGGCCAAGAGGGGGGTGTCCAAGAGGGGGGGGTGCAAATCATGACCGGCGGCATGTGCGCTGCCCAGCGGGGGGGCCAGGGACGTAAGGAAATAAGAAGAGGCGCCATGAAATCTGAGGAAATATCATGGCCCACGCCATGATATCCACCCGCCCCTAGTCATCACCCCCCTCTTTGCCGCCCCCGACAAAAGTCACTCTGGCGAAAGGTCACTCTTACATCCAGTCGACACCGGCAGCGCCGCTCCCGTCCTCGTCCGAGTTCGCCACCGCCGCGGCCAGCTTCCTTTCGGGTCGGCGGCGCGCCCGAGGGGGACGTCGGAGGGGGCGGGCCTCCTCGGAAGGCGCAGGGCTCCCTGGGCCTCTGAGGAGCCTGCGGGGCCTTCCCCGAAGCCAGAGAGAGCTGGAGGGCTTCTCGAGAGGATAAAGGGCGGTCCACCGCCATATCCCATATCGCGCGGAGAAACTCAAATTGTGATAAAACTTCGTATATTCTCTAAGCGAAAGCCTGCGAACATCTCAAACCCTAGAAGCACTGCAAACAAACTCTAAGCCCGAACCTGCGAACAGCTCAAACTCTACAAACTTCAAAACAATTAAAGCCAACACCTGCGAAAACTTCAAACTCATAAAACACGTCGACCAATCTCTAAGCCAAAACCAGCGAAAATCTCAAACTCTAGAGAAACTTCAAACAACTCTGAGCCGACACCTTGGGATATCTCAAACTTTAGTAAGCTTGAAACCGGAACTCTAAAACAACGGTAAAACAACTTTGGATAATAACTTTCGGGAACCTCTAAAATAAACTCTAAACGCCAAACAACTCTAAAACACAGTCTATGAACAATAGAATTCGAAACGCCTGAAAACTCTTTTAAACAACTCTAGAAATACTCGATGAAAACTCTAAAAACTCTTTGAACAACTCTGAATATTTTTTGGGCCGCCTGAAGAACTCAAACAAACTCGGGGGAAACTCTAACAACACTCTACATGCAAACCCCGGCGGTCTAGGAAACTTAAACAATAAACTTCAAACAAACTCTAACAACAATCTGGCCGCCCAAGCATGAAGCATATGTTGTTTCACCAGATCTGCTTAAAGTTTGTCTTGAGTTTCTGTTTCAAGTTTTTTTCGGGTTGATATTCTCCCAGGATTTGTTTAAGAGATGATTTGAAGTTTGATTTTGGCTTGAGATGTTCGCAACTGTTGGCTAAGACTTTGTTTGAAGATTGTCGGGAGGTTGAGTTTCCTGCTGAAGATGTTCCTAAGATTTCGGCTGGTTTTCTCGATGGACCTCCTCTCGTATAATTGCCATACCTAAATCGAGCGCAACTGGGCCATTCCGAGCAATGACCTGACCATGAATCGGGTCAACACTCGGGCCTCCGCAACATCATCCGAAGGGACCTGGCCGACCCACGACCCGAATGCTGACCAGACCCTTTCTGGTCCCGACCGTATCACTACTCTCCCGACCTCTGCCCTTATGCGTTCCGATCAGTCTTTCGGGGAGAATCTGGCTGTAACGGCGAGGGCTCTCTTCGGGGACAAGCTTTCCGTCCCGAATCGTTTTTTGATGATCCTAGGCCCAGGACCCTGAAAACAGAAACTTGCCGCAACTCTTGCGTCGTGATGTCTCACGACGCGTGGAGGTCTGGCTTTCAGTCGGGTTGTGGACAGACCCCTCGTTAGTAAAACTTGGCTTAGCGAAAACGACCTGAGGCCCAAACCTGGCGGGCGCAAGCCTGGAAAATAACGGCCACGGCGCCCTCTCGAGAACCGAAAACGGACAATTCGCTCATCGACGTGTCACTGCTGGGAGTTCTGTCCACCCCCGACCGTTCATTGGCCACCCCGCTCGTTGCCCCAAAGCGGTCCGCGCGGATCTTTTGGACCAGCGCAGGACCCCCCCCCACTCCCTGGCGCGCGGAGCGCGCCAGGGGCGTCGCTGGGGGCGCTGCCACGGGGGCCCAAACGCCGATCGAAGGAATCCGAGCGGAACTCCAAGAACATATGCTTATGCAATTTGTTGTTCGATCTTCAAACCCCCACCACTGGCCTCCAAGAATGTGTCACTGCTGGAAGTTCTGCCCACCCCCGATTCAGGCCACACGCAGGGTCTCCGGCGGCCGGCCGGGGCAACTCCGGGCTTGCAGTGGCACGCTCTCGACGGGGCGGCGTCGCTGGACGGCAGAAATCCCGAGGCACCCCGACGAGCATTGAAGAAACTCCCGACGAGGCATCCCGACGAGCATCTCGAGGCATCCCGACGAGCATCTCGAGGCATCCCGACGAGCATCCCGAGGCATCCCGCCGTTTGATCCACGGCGCGAAGATGGGAGTGAAAAAGAGGACCATGAGAAAGGCAGGCCACGGAAACGTCGATGCCGATCTTGGTCACCCTGCGCCTTAGTCACCGTCGACCAGTGGACCATCCTCGCGAGTCGGCGACAGCGGGCATGTCCCATGACCATGATCGACGTCAACAAATTCCACTACATCTTGGTCATGGTCAACATGTGTCCCCACACCCCCGACGAGGGAACCCACACAGGACGCGCGTGCCCAACAACGTACGTGAACACGGCCCCCCCAGTCCGCGAGACCAGCCGCGTGATACGAACACTCGCGCAATGCGTACTCTCGAAACCAACGTGGACTCATGCAGTTGTACGTCCTTCTTTCGCTCCTGACCGACGTCATGTCTTGTTCACACGCTCGCCCTCCAAAAGCCCCGACCCAAGCCGAGCCCGAGCCGAGCCCGAGCCCTCCAAAAGCCCCGACCCAAGCCGAGCCCGAGCCCGAGCCCCGTCGCGTTCCATCCCGCGCCGTTTCCTGACGGCCGGCCCCGTGACCCCTCGAGGCCGCAATTTGCAAATGCAGGTCCGCCGTGTTTTGTTCACGACGCGAGGGGAGGAGGAGGAGGAGGAGGAGGAGGAGGAGGACGAGGAGGAGCAGGAGGAGGAGCAGGAGGAGGAGCAGGCGGAGGAGGAAGGTGCTCAGATGTCTTGGACCGGCGCTGGGCCCCCCCCCCCCCTGCCTCGCGCGCTCCGCGCGGAGCTCCGAGAGCTCATGCCGATACAACTCCTCTTCCTCGCGCGCCTCTCCCCCCGGGAGAGCGCCGGCTGTAAGACACCGATCCTGGCCAGGTCCCTCCCGGGTCCAGGGCCGGTGTGCATGCGCCCTCCTGGCTCGGGCAGGAAGGCTTATGCGCCGACTCTGGGCCCAAGATCGGCCTGGCCAGGATCGGTGCAGGTACCCATCGGTCGGAAGAAGTAGGTAGAAACATGGAGTAGGAAGGCGCTGGAAATAGATTGGGTTTCCGCACGCCTCCTGAAGAGGAAGGAAGAGGGAAAACGACTCGACCCTTGAAGTAGGAAGGCGCTGAAAGTAGATTGAAATCTGGGAATCCAGAAATACCTACTTTCAACGACCGATGGGTACATAGTTGGCGCCCTCCGATCCCCTCGACACATATCAACCGATCCCTGCCCTCTCCTCGAGGAGGAGTTCGGAAGCGGAACTGCTCGACCCCCAACCTGAAATCCTCGTCGAATCTACAACAGAACTTCCCTGATCCTCCGTTCTCGAAAAATTTGCATCGTGAGAGGGTGTCGGAAAGTAAGCTGCATCTTGCAAGAGTGTGCTGCGATTTCCGGCCTGGGTCGCAACGTGAAAATGCATCTTGCGGTAGCGCCGCCCGCCGCGAATCCTTCATATATCGGGCTCGAAATTGCAGTCGCGCCGCGCTCGAAATTGCAGCCTCCCGCTCGAATTTCGGAAGGCTGCAATCGCGAACGCGGCGCGACTGCAATTTCGAGCCCGAAGGATTCGCGGCGCGCGGCGTTATCGTAAGATGCATAGTCACGTTGCGACCCAGGCCGAAAATCGCAGCGCGCTTTTGCAAGATGCAGTTTACTTTCGGACATCCTCCCGCGTACAACACATACTACACATACACACATACAACACGCGCAACACATACACACGCACAACACACGTATACATATACGACACATACAACGCACACAAAACATCCTTATGGACACACAAATATACAGCACGTACACTACATCCAATACATACATTTAGACACATAAAGCCATGCCATACATATACACACATACATATACATATAATGCGTGCATCTATTGATCCACATATAGTACATTCGATACATACATATAACACATGCGTGCCACACATACATAAAATGCATTTATACATACACATGCAAACATATCATTACTAATGAAAGCCAGAATAACGCATGATAGTGCTATTACTTATTGCTGCTACTCTTATAGTAACGCACTGGTAGTAACCATCGAATCATATAGTATTTTAGTATTACGTGTAACGCACGGGTAACACGATTTGCAACATCGTATTATTAGTACTAGTATCATTATAGCACGGGTAGCACGGGTGGCACGGGTAACGCACGTTTAGCACGGGTAATAACGCACGGGTAGCACCATAGTGTTATTAGTATCATTATAGTATACGCACGGGTAGTAACCATGAATGAAAACCGTAGTAATGCACGGGTAGTATCCATATTACTAGTATCATCCTAGTATTAGTTGTGCCGCTACCTGTATGTAGTGTTCCCCATATCCTAAGATGGGGTTCTTGTTATTACTTGGACGCCTCCTACTCCTCCTCCTCCGTCCTCCTCCTCTTTTCTCGTCCCCTCCTGTCGGACATACTCAGACTTGCTCATACACAGACTTACTCATACTCATACTTAATCATACTCAGACCTACTCAGACTCAGACTTACTCACACTCAGACATACTCATATACAGACTTACTCATACACAGACTTACTCATACACAGTATTAGTCATACCCAGACGTACACATACACAGACTTACGCATACACAGACTTACTCATACTCAGCACCCCTAAGGGGAGCCGCCAGGGGTGGTTGCACGGGCTCGTTCGCGGTCATTTTGTGGGGATGTCTCAGGCGGTTTGCCTGTTTCTGTGCCCAACATCCTTCGCTTTCGGAGCAGATTTGGAGGATGTCTCGAGCGAGGCGCTCATTTCAGCACCCCTAAAGGGAGCCGCCAGGGGTGGTTGCACGGGCTCGTTCGCGGCCATTTTGTGGGGATGTCTCAGGCGGTTTGCCTGTTTCTGTGCCCAACATCCTTCGCTTTCGGAGCAGATTTGGAGGATGTCTCGAGCGAGGCGCTCATTTCAGCACCCCTAAGGGGAGCCGCCAGGGGTGGTTGCCCGGGCTCGTTCGCGGCCATTTTGTGGGGATGTCT